GTCACCCGAAAGAACAAGTTAATAGTTAATTCTATGAAGCAGCCTGTAGAAATAACAGCTTATACAGTCAACTGTAAGCAATCTAGGGGTTGGTTACATTTGCTGGCAAACAGTCACACCTGTGGAAGGTAAAAATAACTACCTATATTTACGAATTATTCTTCAACCACTGTTTATATTAACTATTAATATTATTCTCCTAGTGGGAAAGTAATATCGTTTAGAACTGTTGACGAAAAATTGAAATGGTTAATCCGCAACTGTTTGCAACAAATCAAATGTTTCAGTGAAAATGTGAATTTTTGTAAACTCTATAATCCTTACTTGAACTTACATGTGAGTTAAAATCTGTAAAGCATTTCTTAAAGCACACGTTCGTTTTAATCTTCCGGCGAACAAGTTCGAACACGCTTCGCGACTTGCAGGAGCAGTTAAAAAGCGAATTGTGTGCTGGTTGCAGGTTCGAACCTGCACCGAGGGAGAAAAGCAGGTCGATTCGAAACGGAGCCTTTTGCCTTTACAGCATCCTTCGCAACGGAGGACCTCTTGAGAGCAGGACAAAACGTGTTCGAACCTGCACGAAGTTTTCTCGCTGTAGGACGTAGGATATGTGCTTTACTTAACACTTGAACTACCAAAATCAGTCAAAATGACTGGTTCGTAAATTCATAAAAATCATTAAAATCTCATAACTAGACTGCAGATTTTTATGCAAAATGACATTTTTTGCAGTAATTCATAAAGTCAAAAGCAATGGTAGGAATTTCTTTCTTTCTGTAAGTATCTTATTGGGTTCAAAATAAAGTAGAAAAATCGTTGGATCTGATAAAAGTTTTCTCGTTTTATTGTATTTCACAGACTCCTATAGGCTATAAATGCATGAAATCGGCAATCTAGTCATAACAATGTATTGTCTCAAATTTCTCGGAATTTTTACTGCGACATATGTATATAGGTAAAGAAGTTCGTTAATTTATGGATTTTTTAGTGTTAATAGAGTGGCTTAGGTACAATTTCATAATTCAGTAAAGCTGCTTTGGACAATACGTTGAAGCTGACAAGAATGTAATGTATCACATGCTAGGTCAGAAAAGTTCAGCATGTTGAATTTGTCACAAAATGATCTATGCACAAAAATGTAGCAAAATAACGCAGATAACTTTGAAATTTCGAAAAAATAACCTTAAAAAAAATATTATATCTTTTGAACTGAATATCTATTCCCAGCAAAAATAATTTACCTTAATGCTTAAGCGAAACACCCTCTATATTCCACGATAATCATCGAACGAATACAAAGAAAAGTAAAATCATATGATTAAAATGCTTTAGATGCTAAGAAACGCAACGTTGCGTTAGTTGTACCGTTAATAAGATTAACCTGCTTGTACCGATCTCTTAACCCAAATATCCAACCCTTTTTACCTGCCTCCCAACTGAAAGGGTTAGCGGATACACGTTGACAATGGTGGAATGGGTTCTGGCCGGAGAAAGGGTTCACCTGTGAAAGGGTTACGGTCGACGTACAATAGAATCACTGGTCGGGGATCGGTATTGCGCGAACAAGGACCAACAAGTGCAACGAGGTACACTGTAAGATTACGTATTCCAATCAGGCGACGATAACGAATATTCGCAGCCGTCATCGATGTACGATCGAGCAGCCGCTTAATCGCACCTGGTTTTTTTCCACAAAACAGGAAAAGAAAAGGCTGTGCACATGCCGATCTCGAACAGCTGCGGAAAGTGTATTTTCTTCGTGGCCGTACAACGAGAAATCGTTGCACTTTAGTAGATCCCCTAATGGAAAGAAAGAGTATCAGGACAGAGAGTAGACGACTCTTCAAAGCGGGATCGAGGAACCTCTTTCACGGCGGACTCGCTCGATTCGTCGTACCCCGATCGAAAGTGTCCCTTCACGATTGCGTCCAATAGAGCGGTCCAGGCACACACACACACACATCAACAGGACGATGCACGTGTGCCCTTTTCGCAGGTTTCACCCTTTTTACCTGGATATTCACCGGTTCGATTCTGAACCGGTACGCGCGGGTGGCAGCTCGAAGATAGGGGGCAGGCAAACTCAAACAAACCCAATGGCTCACCCCGTACGTACGGTGGTCCATTCAACGATGCAAGATATGCATCTACGAACCTGAATAGGCCTGGAAATAACGAAATTCCATTGGAGAGTTTCATGATTTTGAATAATATTGCATCCCCCCCTTTTCTCCGGTGTCGGATGAACGTTTCAAAAAGGATCGAAAGGGTCCGTGTCGAGGTTTTACGGTCGGCCCCTATTATTGTGCCACCCCGAAAACTTCCCCGGACCTGGTCCAGGGGACAAAAGGATACTGCGTGATTTTCGAGGATGGACAACGAAGGTGAACCGTATAAAGGATTTATCCACCGCGGGACACACCGTGGAGGGGAAAAATCGGGCAGTGTGTTCGCGACAGGATATCGTTCGACGTGTCTGGTGTTATCGATCACGCGGTAATACAGATGGAAATCAGGTTTAAGAGATGCGATAATGTGTAAATAACACCGATAGTATTTTAACAGATTTTGCTGATGTTTGGAAGTATCGGAAAAAATTATTCCGATCATTCAGATCATTCAGAACACAAGATGTTATTGACAATGGGAAATAACAAATTTTATCACATCGTAACCGAAAGGCAAAACCATTCAAACCAAGTGTTTCTGTAATATATACTCAAACCTGTTTTTGAGCGATTTTTTTTTATGCGATATATAAACAAAATTTTGCCCCGTTTGCCTGAATGCCCAAATGTATTTCATCATCACATTACATAGATATGTACATATTGCATCAGCCAATTTCATTACATATACAGGGTGCGGCAATAACTATCTCCACTTTGAATATTGCCGTTATTTATAATAATATGAAAAAATGTTATATACAAAACTTATACGGTATAGAGGGGGGCATATTGTGAAATAAACATTTTCTGCATGGGTGAAGGCATAAATGAGATTTCAAGGTCATCTCTATTTTTTCACATTTGGTCGACGCAGAAAATGTTTGTCACAATATGCCCCCCTCTATACCGTGTAAGTTTTGTATATAACATTTTTTCATATTATTACAAATAACGGCAATATTCAAAGTGGACATAATTATTGCCCCACCCTGTATATTGCACCATCTAATCACATTAGTTGATTACCGTCCTTCTAAGTGCGTACATACCTCTTGACTATTAAAATAAAATTAATTTTAAAGTGAACTTAAAGGTCAATGTATTATTTTGTCTATTTACATATAATTTTTTATGTCTTTAGTTTAGACATAATCCCTGAAAATGAATAATAATATAACAATAATAATATGTATAAGTAAATAAAATATTTTTAAATCTTCCCATATATAAATTAATTTTTTTATCTTGTTTGGAAAAGCAATTTCAAGTTACATCGTGAGGTTTTGAGTTATTTTTTATGTGAGTCTTGTTTTATGCTGTCCCTATGCACCGAATAAAAACAGGTTTGAGTGTAAACACGAATTCAGATAACATTCCTAACGCAGACCACTGATATCCCAACAATTTCTTTAAATGTGTGATTTTACCACAATGTCCACTTACGCATCTTAACGCATTATCGGCCAATTGGTTAAAATGAATTGTGAATACGTTCGTGAACGGTCGTTCGTCTGAAAATAGATGTTTAGGACTCACGAATGGTTTGATCTGATTGCAGCGAAATTTTCTTAATCCTTCGTTGTCACACTGGGTCAAATTGACCGAGAATTGGACTTTCAAGTAAAATATCCTCAAGACATCGTTGAAAATGTACTGGCACCCTGTAGAGGTAATTTCAGATACCTACCTATTCTAAAGAGAAACTTTTTTTACAAGAAGTTGTTTAAACATGATAGAATTTTCAGTATGAATTTTTAATACTGAAATATAATCTACAATGTTTCAAACTTCGTCTTAGAATTTCTTGCGACTTAATTTAACAAATAGTTTTTAAACAACAGCTGATTAAATATTGGCTTAGATCAAATTGATCCAATGTAATAACTACAGTTGAAAAACGAGGTATGACAATCTGGAGTTAAACACCTTTTAAAGTTTATTGAAAGTATTCGATATTATACGGAATTATAAATATATAATAATAGTTTATATCGTCAGTCTCTAAAATGAAAATTGATAACGGCGGTCGTAGGCACTAAAAGTATGCCGCCCGATAGGGTGTTAACTTATTCGACAGATAGAACTTAAATATAAAAATTTACCTGATAGCATCACCAATTTATGCACGTAAGTATACACGTTTGCTAAAAGAAGCAGTAGATAAAATGATTCCAAATAATTTGAAAGTAATTTAATGGTTTATAAAGAGCAAGCTCATCTTGACTGATTGAAAAACCCTAAATTCAATGACCTGCTTCCTGGAGTGATCACGAAATATAATAGGAACAAAAATAATATCGTACAATGCAATCAACTGTAAGGATTCAGTCACATTAAATGATATTTTTAGAATTGTCCATAAATTAATGAAACCTTCTCCAATGGTGAGATTAGAAAAAGTAGCATTTCTTCGATTCCTATCATTTTCAACATTAAGTCAACACAAAAATTAGTCCTGTTATATTTTAAAAAATGTCCAAAAGAAAGTCACGTGCAAAGGTTATGAATTTCAACAAAAAAGAATTCTTTATTGTAAATAAATATTTCCTTTCATTGAAAATGGGATTGATAAAATATATCTACGATATTCTATTCGTTTCAAGTACTATCAAGCAAAATCTACAATAAAACATACCTATACTAAAAATTTTAGTTGACGTGTATATCGGAAAATGCAAGCAGACAATCTGCATAATCATATTATGAGCTTGAAATAATTAATTCTTCTAATTCAGTGTTTAGAAATGTTAATAAACGCAATTAATGTTAAAAAACGAAATTACTCGTGCGCCCAGCTAGTAATAGCCTTTAAAAATAATTGACTTACCCTCAGACGTGTATTGTTGAATAATTGTCGTCACCACTTTTTCTGCATCTATAACAAAATATTGAAAAATAAGGTTTCATACCTGAATTTATTTTCGTAGACACTGCTTGTGCGTTTACTAAAGAGCTCTTGATTAATTTCACGATTCACTACAGAAAGTGCAACACTGTGAATCATAAAAAAACAAAAGACAACATTTTACATGTGTTTAGAGACACAATCTTGCGCAAAACAGCGAAAAATAATAAGATAGTTGGAGTAATTACACCATAATGCATTTTACAATTCTCCCAATATCAATCAAGTGTCCACGGATTAATAAACAATAATGTATGTCAGTAGATATAGTTCTACAAAACTTTAACGTAATCAATTAAGGGGTCTCCCTACGGTGACGAGTCAAAAATTGAACGAAATACAAGAATTTTTTTGGAAAAAACTATGAGGTATATCGATGTTAAACTTTTTTCTATGAATTTGTATACACTAATGATAAGCTTAATTTTTTTCTTTTGAAAATGCAGTACAGATTAAAAGTTATTGCAATTTTCCAGGATTGCCTAAAAAATGGTGCCTCCATGGCTGCCATTATATCAGCTGTCTACGTTATTTCAAGTCAAAAATTGAGAAAGATTCTTAATCTTAAAAAATGGAAGAATAAAAAATGGCGGAGACTTGCAAAAAAGTTCCGATTTTCGCAAAAAAAGTACAAGTTGTAAAATTCGAAATTTTCTATGCACCTACTGAACATGCCTACATAGTTTCAAGTCACTCTGTCAAATAGTTTCTGAGATATCGTGGCAGCCATTTACAATAATGTCGTTTTAAGAAAAACACGTTTAAACTTTCGATTTGTATCTGCGTTCCGTGGCGCGCCGCTTTGATTAAAAGCTAATAACTTCTTTATTATTTCGAATCGGGCAAAATCCTTTTAAGATTACGGTTTTGAAATATTAAGCCTTGAGGTAAATGTAAAAAAGAAAAAATCGATTTTTTTTCACCCGTCACAGTAGGGAGACCCCTTATTGAAATAGCGTTCGACCAATAATAAAAAATTAAATATTCAATTCGTAAACAATCTTACGATGTCGAATATAATCTCCGGAAGATCAAAGTATTGAATCTTGGCGAAGTGATTGATAGTGGGAAATACGAGTGGGGGAAAAAGAAACAGTCGTTAAAGTCTCCATTCATCGAATAGGAAATTGACGATGCCGCTCTAATAACAGAAAATTCGTATCGACGAACAGCGGCACTCCTATAAAAAATATTTAATAAGCGAGGGAAAAAGTGTAATAGGATCGAGCTACTATAAATTCATCTCGTTGTCCCGGTCAAGGGGGAGAAAAAGAGATAAAATTCCGATTACGAAGATCTCTATCTGAGAAGCCGTTGCCTACCCGCCAAAAACGATTACCAGGTCCATACGAGCGAGAAACAAAAAAAAAAGAAAAGAAACGAATACGGTAGCCCGTATTACAGATTATTTTTCGCCCGAGGCAAAACGGGGGACCATTCTTTTCCCATCCATCTATTCGTCAGTATTTTTCGTCCGTTTTTCCATCTCCGACCTTCTTCCATTTTTTAACCTAATTTAAAGTTACATTATTCCGGCTAGAATAATGTACTGTTTCTACGGCATCTTCGACGATTGGAATTTTCGAATAGTAATTTGAAAACAATTTCAATCACTTGGTCCAAGTTTTAAAGAGTTGTTCTATATTAACGGGTGTACGAATACTTTCTTTACCCATTGTATAAGCTCACGTGAGAGCTCTTTATGGGCACACCATGGCACCGATTTGTTTCTATAACAATATTGAAAGTAATGTTTTCCCTTTGTGAGGCCTTGCTCTTTTATAATGCGCTTTGTTTGTGAATTGGTCATATCGTGGAATTCCTCGAATAGGTCAGTATATGGAACTATCGAAACTCCATTTGCAAGTGTTTCTGTAGCTGATTTCGCTGAGCGGTCAACGTCTTCATTTCCCTTTATTCCATCGTGCGACGGAACCCAGAAAAATGTTATACTGTTGTTGGGATTATCTTGTAAGAATATACATTTTTTTATTTCCCATATGTACGGGCTTGTTCTAATATTTATTTTGGTGCCCCGAAGACTTTACAAGGCACTTAAGAAGTAAGAAAAAATGAAAGAGTTATTATTTGCTTCTTTTAAGGCAATTTCAAGAGCATCGTTTAACGTAATACATTCTGCGGTAAATACATATGCACTATGATTGATACTCTTTATTACTTCAATACACAGACTAGGGCATTCGCATGCTGATTCCACATACATATCAAAATATTTTAACTGCACTAGCCCGTATAATCGGACCGCAATACAGTAAATCATCCTGTACTAAATAAAATTAAGAAGTCAGCGTTACACCTGCGGAGCTCTTCGTGTTAGTGCTGAAGAGCCTTCGAACACTCATCGAGGATTTACTGTATCATCAATAAAGCGTTAATCGCGCATCAAGAAATGAAAATCAGATTGACAGGTTCCAGTCCAAACAATATTTAACCACCGAGTCAACGAGTCCGTACAATACGTACAGCTATTATTTTCTTCTAAAACAGCGGTGCCACGATCAAGAGAAGATCTATGTGTCCGTTCGGTACACCGTAAAACAAACACGTAAGCAGACAGCATCGTCATGTAAGCAGGTAACCAAATCCGTCCCGTGCGGAGGGAAACCTGGTATCTCGATCATGAAATCAGTACGATTACACGGTCGAACGGGAGAAGGAGAACGGGAGGGAGGGAGTCGAGGGGAGAGGAAGGGGAAAGGGGGCGTAATGGCGGGACCGAGAAGGAAAGAGGGAAAGGGAAGAAACGAGCGAGAGCGTAAGAGGACAGAAGGATGGGGCCTGGTGGCTGCACCTGCCGATGACGTCAGAAGGGACTTCTTGTTTGGTGCTACACAGCCCCGGGGGTCACTACTACTGTTCCAGCCCAGTCTCAGCTACTTCTCGTCTTTCTTCCTTCTCTGCCTTGACTCTCGGGAGAACAGGCTACAGGGGGGAACCGCGAAAAGAGCACTCACCCCCTCCTTCCCCGACCCTTTCGGTCGTGGGTATTATTTATATGCTAATGAAAACTCACGAAAAGGCGTGATATCGGTCCTCACCCCCGGTTAGCCAGATGTAAAAACGGCACGCTGAAACACTGATTCGACCAGTTTCGAGAAACGATGATGTAACACGGGCCACCGTGATATGGAACGACACCCAGGGATCGTGGAATCGAGGAAGGGAGCAATAAAACTTCTGCGGTTCGGATGAATAAGTCTTGTATACGCGTGCACACTTGGGGGATACATAACACATGTCTTTCCAATATCTTGAAAATACACCATTAACAATGAATAAAATGAATTATGATAACCGTATTAAAAATAGGTTCTACTTAGAAATCGAATAATAACAGTACTTCTTTTTCGGATATTCACAAGAAACTTTTATTAAACTCAGATTTATGACTGGTGGTATATATTGATCAGAGTTGGTTAAAGACACACCACCCAATGTTAACCACGCACCCAACATCCCACCAAACACAAGTTTAGTTATTAATATCTCCAAAAAAACAGGAAAGAAGTTTCTTAATCGGGCCCCAAAGCACATAGTGTGGGTGTCTTGTGTTTGGTGGGATATTGGGTGCGTGGTTAACACTGGGTGGTGTGTGGTGGGATGTTGGCTGCGTGGTATAATAATTAATTAATAAATAAAAATCTGAAAAAGTATCATATAAATTGAAACATATTTTCTTGAGTATCTCGGAAACTAATAAAAATGTTCAGAACGATGACCTTGACAACATATTTCAAGGTCATTGAAATAGGTGAAGATAGACTTATTCCGAATAATTACCTTTTAGTGACCTCTACACGTTATGAGAACGGTGAATCTACGGCGGGTAGTGACACGGAAATGGAAATGGTGTTACGTTGTCCCAGAAAAGTGGGCCGAAGAAATACTACATAGGATAAAATGCCTATTCGTATACCTCGTCGGTGATGCTACACACTCCTCTCGATTATTGTCTGGCTTGTTCTACACGATTGTTGTCCATGCCTTATCCCCACCACTGGGTTGATGCCCCTCCGTTTTTGAAACTTCAACAAACGAATTTACGAAGGTCTGAAGCATTTCTTCGTATAAGATTATTGTCCTGGGCTCGAACCCGAGTTCGGGACGATAATCGAGAGGAGTCTGTACTTACAAAAGTACATTAGGACTACTGAAATTCCAAAACAACCAAAGAAACGAAGCCAGCAACAAAACGTAAAGCAATTTCTCGTTTATTCTGCCCTGAGCTACTGTCATACTACGTGAAGCAACGATGCATAACCAAAGCCGTTCCACGTTTATTATTTGAAACGACCGCGAAAACGTCCGTGAACTGATACAATCGGTATTCCCGTGGATGGCGTTTTAATCAAGATCGTGTCACTTCGTTCACCTACTGCCATCGCCAACATCAGAATCGTTGGTCCGCGAGCCAACATTTTATCTGATGAACCTTCGTTCTACCATGGATATTTGCATAATGTAATATCTCCCCCTGGACTGAAATATACAATTAAACTGGTATAGTGTACAGTGACCGACGACAGTATTCGAATGATAAGATACTTGAATAATCACTATACCACGAATTGTATGAATATAATAGAAAGTAATTTTCTCGTGATAAATATTAATCACGTTAATTAATTAAAAAATACACACGGCTGAATCATTTAAAAATATTTATAAATCCTTTGCGTTGTTAATATAAGTTTTTCAATTTTATTCATTATTGCCAATCACAGAGATCATACACAAAGACTACTTTATCAAATTCGTACGATTATTCTTTGCCGTACTTCTATTTAACAATAAACAATTAATCTTTCATTTATTGTAACATTACACCGCTGTACTCTAGCTTTGATTCAAATTAAGTTTGGATCCTTTGATTTTACTTTTCAGAAGAATTTGTATCACTACATCGTTCAAAGAATATTAAAGATCCTGTTTCTAGGATATGTCACTCG